TAAGTAGGAAAGAGAGGCTATCAGTGCAACGAGGGAAAGTACGAGTGGAGTAGGATCAATGGATTGGAGGTCCTGGTGGGGTTGGGGTTGTTAGAGTTAAGATACTAGAGGAACTAAGCAGGAAAGCTATAAGAGAGTGCTTAGAAAATGTAAGTTTTCTAATTGAAATTGTGGGAAGATTGTAATTACTAGTAATGACAAGGTCTAGTATGTGACCATGGAAATGAGTGACCAAGGTAACATAGAGGACAAGATCATTGAAGGAGAGAAGTATAGGTGTTGAGAGGCCAAGGTACTTTAAGTATTGTCTGTGGGTGCATTAAAGTTATTAAGAATTGAAACAGGAAAATATTGGAGAGAAGTTCAGTAAATCAGAAGTAAAACTGTCTAGCAATGAGACGTGGTGACCTCTGAGAGTCAGTGGATTACAGCAACAATGAGAGGTGGGAAGTACAACCTAATGAAAATCAAAGCTAGCAGATTTAGGGGTGGGGATGTGAAGATCTCCCACTTTCAGGGTTGGTAGTCTAAGGCATGTGGATAAGTAAAGGTCCTGACTTGAGAGCTGTGGGGAAGCAGTGCCCTCAGAGGGCCACTGGGTTTTATTAGAGCAGGAGGTGGTGAACTACAGCCCACAGGCCAAATCTCACCCACCACTATGGCTCATGAACTAAGCATGTTTTTTGTATTTTTCCATGATTTAAAAAAAGTCAAAATAGTATATCATGAATGTGACATAATAGGAAATTCAGATTTTAGTGTCCATAAATAAAGTTTTCTTGGGATGTTGCCATACTTTTAAAAAATGTATTGTGTGTGGCGGCTTTTGTTCTACAACACCTAAGCTGAGTAGCTACAACAGAGACCATATGTAATTCTCTCCTTGCTTCACACTGCTGCTCAGCACAGTAGACATCACAGTGATGCTGTTACAGCTTGAGTTTTGAGTGCTATATGTACCACCATACCACAACATTTTATTTATTTTCTATTACCAGTGTATACGCATTGTGTCAAAGCAAGAAGAGAAGAGTATACTTCAAATGTTGTCTTTTCTTCCCCTCCCGTAAGAGGCTGTCGCACAGGCAGGAGTGCAGTGGCACGTTCATAGCTCACTGCAACCTCGAACTCCTGGGCTCAAGCAGTCCTTCTGCCTCAGCCTTGCAAGTAGCTGGGACTACAGGTGCATGCCACCATGGACCTGGCTAATTTTTTAATTTTTTGTAAAGACAAGTCTTGCTATGTTGTCCAGGCTGGTCTCGAACTCCTGGCCTTGAGCAGTCCTCTTGCCTTCGTCTCCCAAAGCACTGGGATTACAGGTGTGAGCCATCATGCCCAGCCCAAATGTTGTCCTTTTGAAGCACAATGGAGTATGCATTATTTTTATCAAGTTAGGTGGCAAAGCATTTTTTAAAATTATGCAGTGACAGTATAGCTGTGCTAAAGGAATACAGTGTACATTGGACATTCCCAGACTAAGCACTCACTATGATCTTCCTGACATAGGACAGCAACAGTAAGAAAAAAGAGAAAATTTAAAACGGAGTATCTCATCCCCATAAAATTTCTTCATAAAGAAAAATGATCATGCAGGCTTAACAAAAATTAAAAAATAAAAAAAAGAGGCTGCAATGTTATGTAAGCGTACGAGTGGTGTATTCACTAGCCGAGCAGAGAAAGCTGTTCACTGATGGTATGTGATTGCAGCAGCCAAACAAATGTGTACAGAGACAAAAACTTGCCTAAGACTGTTAGTTAGCCTTTGGGAAAGAATAGCTGCTCAAAGAATTGGGGGCATTGGGAGTGGCGTCAATAGTCAATTAAAAAAACCAATCTTGTTTTCCTTGACTCTTGTTTATTTAAGGAATCAATGCAGAGTTTGAAGTGACTGAAGAATTAGCCTATAGTCTCCCCTTACAGACTTGGGAAAGCTTGGTCTTATTTTCTTTAGAATATGTATCACAATGTGAAATTAAGTTACATATTTATTCATGTACTTATTATTTCCCTTTAGAGCAGCAGTCCCCAAACTTTTTGGCACCAGGGACCAGTTTAGTGGAAGACAGTGTTTCTATGGACAGGATGGGGGTTGGGGGGTGGCAGACGGGATGGTTTTCTGAAACTGTTCCACCTCAGATCATCAGGATTAAAAAAAGATTCTCATAAGGAATATGCAACCTGGATCTCTCGCATGTGCAGTTCACAATAGGGTTTGTGCCCCTGTGAGAATCTAGGACCACTGCTGATCTGACAGGAGATGAAGCTCAGATGGCAATGCTTGCTCACCCACTGCTCATCTCCTGCTGTATGGCCCAGTTCCTAATAGGCCGTGAACCGGTACAGGTCTGTGGCTCAGGGGTTGGGAACCCCGTTCTAGTGCATGCATTGTTTTCTGTCTCAACGGAGCCATAAGCCTACAAAGTTGAGGCTATATAGTACCCCTAGACCAAGAGTGGGTTTCTTACGTGACTCCTTGACAATAAATAGGCTTCTGTTTAAGATCCTGAGATTTGGGTGGGTGTGAATACACAGTCCTGAGTGTTTGGGAAACTAAAGTCTAATGCTTAGAATTTTACCATTAAGTTCTTGATTAGTTCTAGGTTGGACCATTGGTGAGATGAACTGAGAAAACTAGGACCATAGAAACTCTGAGTTTGACTGAAAGCCATCCAACAGAGGCATTTACACTTACTAGCACATAAACCTGTATTAGAACAAGCTAAAATCCAAGGCAGTAGAACATAGAAAGATCTTTTAGATTTCAAATGACTTGTCTGCAGCCTTTGTCAAGACTCTGCAGCCTATTCTAGCTCATATAGCTAGAGCCAAGAATCTTTTCTTAACCTCACAGGCTATTATATTATCCAGGTTCAGAACTTTCTGTCTCATCTGGGATATTACAATACTCTTAAAATTCTCCCCACCTCCTGTCTTGCCTTTATTGAACTCATCTTCTACATATTCCCTAGAGTAGTTTTCCTGAAATGTAAGTTTGACTATGTTGTTTTGTCCACCGTAATTCCTTTTCATGGCTTCCTGCCCATAGTAGTGGTGTTTCTCAGTTCCCAGCAGATTCCAGAGGATTCCTCAGGGGCTGTATTATGGAAGAGCCTAAAGTAGATGAGGCTCTGTCTCTTGTCTGACACCTTTAACCTCCTTTAGAACAGAGCAGTTTCTTTGATCTATTTTATATAGAGAGCTACTTTAAACTTTAATGTGAAAATGGTTTTTGATACTTAAATTATAGTGTTATTACTATAACTACTGGCTGACAGGTAAAGTTCAAGCTCCTGAACTTATCTGGGGCTTTCCAGCCTCTTCTGTCAGTCCTTACTACAAACTTGATACTCCAGCAACATAGAACTTAGATACAGTTCCTCTGTGCTTGGTTTACATTGCTTGTCTGCTTATATTTGTTGGTTCTTTCCTTTTTTTGAGACAGGGTCTCACTCTGTTGCCCAGACTGGAGTGCACTGGTGTGATCTTGGCTCACTGCAACCTTCACCTCCCAGGCCTAGGTGATCCTCCCACCTCAGCCTCCTAAGTAGCTGGGACTACAGGAAACTGCCACTGCACCCAGCTAAATTTTTAAAAATAGTTTTTGTAGAAACAGGGTTTCATCATGTTTCCCAGGCTGGTCTTGAACTCCTGGACTCATACATTCCGCCTGCCTCAGCTTCCCAAAGCGTTGGGATTACAGGTGTGAGCCACCATGCCCGGCCTGTTCTTTCATTGTCTATCACCTAGCTAACCACTACTATTCAGTTTAGACTTGTTTCAGGTACCATCATTTACAGAATCTTCCTACCTATCTCTCACCCCAGCAGGCTTTGGTTAGGTGTCCTCCTTAGTACTCAAAAAACTGTTTATCTTCCTTATTACATTATTTTGAATTCTTTTTTTCATTGTTTCTGTTTCATTTGCTAGTGTTTGAACTCTTAAAGAATAGGAGCTACATTTTAAAGTTACCTTTATTTCCAGTGCTGTACAGCCTGATGTGTGGTGGATACAAATATTTGTGCAGTGAATTAATTGATTATTGTCTATCTTTCTGGTGCATCTTGCAGTGAATATGTAACCTAAAATTAAATGTACTTATAACTTTGTAGAAATTTGCTCTCTGTTGCATGTATTTATTGATCATAAAGTACACAAACACTTAAGTTTAAATTTGCATTTGAAAGGGAAAACAAGAATATTAATACAGCTCTTATTAGGAGCTGGAACTGAAGTTTAATAGCTGCTGTGTATTTTGTACAACTCTGAAATGTGAAGCTTTTCCATGTAATCTCATGCCAGTGTTGACCCATGTGGATTAAAATAGCCCTAATTTAATCTATGACCAAATTAGGAATTAGAATATCTATCCAGTGGGGATTTGTGAATTATTGTAGTTTGTAGTATGACAGGTTTATATAAATAATTGCAGTGATTTTCACTGTGTGTTTCAAGTTAAAAATCTAGGTTCAAATAGAGAAATGTAATGATATAAGTATTAACGATTGCCAGTTGGAAAATTTACTGTGTTTTTTTTTTTAGTGTATTTGCTTTTGATATCTTAAATTACATCTTTTTTAAAAGGGTCACTAAAACTGACCTTATAAAAAGAAAAATTTATTCCAGTATTAATCTAAAATATCTACTCATGTTTCCTAAATTCGGATTTGATGTGTACTTAAAATACTAGGAACTAATTAGCTAATTATTCTCAACTTTCGTTTGTAGTGTAATATTTGTTTTTAAAACATTCTATTAAGTCATATTTTGATTAATAAAAACCTTTAGTAGCTATAATGAAGTTATTCTGGAATTTATTTTAAAAATATTAGCAAATTGAACATTTATCTGTTTTATAACTTCAAGTTTCACCATATTTTCAAATAATTCTTAATGAAGTTTGTTGTTTTTCATTGTGTTTCTTAAGAACTCGAATGTAAAATAAGTAGTGCTAGTTGTAATACTTTAGTGATTTAAAATGATAAGCTTTTCTTTTCATACAGATAAAGACACAATAAATAAAATCAGAGATTTACGAATGAAAGCCGAAGATTATGAAGTAGTGAAGGTGATTGGTAGAGGTGCATTTGGAGAAGTTCAATTGGTAGGTTATTTTAATGAGAATAAAAAAGGATTTTATTAAATTAAAATAATCCACTTGTGTGTTTAACATATTATTTGGGAAAATACTGTTTTTATAGAATTGTTGCTTGAAGTTCCTTTAGACATTGTTGCCTAGGGTATGAAAGCCTAGTGTCAAATCCAGCCGTAGTGGGAAGTGTTTTCCCCAAGTACCTATGGCAGAGAAGAAGTCTCAGGCGTCAGAAGATAAATCTTTGCTCGTAATATTAGACTAAAATGCTGTAGAATAGTAAGCTTTATAAATAGGAAGCAGCTTACATAGCAGGATGGAGGGGGGAACGTATCTTATAGGAAATAAAGATTTTTTTAAAACATTACTTCTGATAATTAAAATCTTGACATTAGCTACTTGGAATAATTTGGCAGAAGAGAAGAAATAAAAATAACGGAAACAGTAAAGCTTAATTATTTAACAAGTATTAAAAGCACTTAGTAAATTGTTCTGTGAAACCTTGAGCTTTAAATGTTAACAAAAGGTTCATTATTTTCCCTTTTCAATTTTAAAGGTAAGGCATAAATCCACCAGGAAGGTATATGCTATGAAGCTTCTCAGCAAATTTGAAATGATTAAGAGATCTGATTCTGCTTTTTTCTGGGAAGAAAGGGACATCATGGCTTTTGCTAATAGTCCGTGGGTTGTTCAGGTATGACTTTGCTACTCTTTCATTACTGCTCTATCAGTTTGTAACTAAACATATCTGAGAAGCTTAGTTTGTGTTTTAGAATAGTAATAGAGAATTTACTGGCAGTTACAAAATTGTCTAATTACCTTTTAAATCTTAAAATTTAATTATATTGAATCATTTCTAGAAAGAAAGGCCAGAACAAAATAATTATGCTTCTGTAGAATTTATATATAGGAAATTTAATTTAAATGTAGAATTTGGGCTGGGCATTATGGCTCAGGCCTGTAATCTCAGTACTTTGGGAGGACGAGGCAGGAGGATTGCTTGAGCCCGGGAGTTTGAGACCAGCCTGGGCAACATGGTGACACCTATGTCTACAAAAAATTAAAAAAATTATTGAGGCATGGTGGTACACGCCTGTGGTCCCAGCTACTGAGGAGGCTGAAGCAGGAGGATTGCTTGAGTCCAGGAGGTTGAGGCTGCAGTGAGCTGTGTTCACATCTCTGCACTTCAGCCTGGGCAACAGAGTGAGACCCTGTATCAAAAATAAAAATAAAAAATAAAAAATTTAAACACAGAATTTTAAATTAGGTATTTTTAAATACAGAAGATACAGAAAACTTAATCTACTTAAATTTGAGGGAAGTCATATATTATTAAAATTTAAATAGTTACTTTTATTTAATATTGAATTTTTTTTCCCCAGACATGAGGCTCTCATTTTGTTCAGCTGTCTCCTCATTTATTTGTCTCTTATTTTGTGAAGAGGAGATAATAAGGGAAATGAAGGGAAAGTGAGAGGAAACCAAGTTAAGCTAGGTCACCAAATAATACTTGTCTTTAGGTTTTCAGTAGAAAGAAAAATAAACTAGAAGTCAGTAGTTTTAGGTCCTCGTCTTGATTGCCATAGGCCTTTCTCTGAAGCTGTGGCCATGTTACTTAACACCTCTGGGCCACAGTTCCCTTGTTCGTAAGTGTGAAAGTTGTCTTTGATTGGTTATGTTCAGTTGTGGAGGTACCTTAGGCAAAATCATGGGGTCAAGTGGGGTTTTGGGTAGACTATAATTCTGAGTTTTCTCTCTGCTTTTTTGAGTTCAGCTTCATGTTTTATCTGTCTTATGTATTGGGGTCCTTAATGCAAAATGTCATACGGGGGAAGTTAAACTGGGCTAGACCATTTCTAATTTTCTAACTTGTATTTGTGATTTATTTATTTATAATATATAATGAAGTCTATCCTTAAAAAGCATAACAGTAATTGGAATTAAAAGGATATGAAAAATGTTGAAGGTTTATGCCATAGCACTTTTTTTTTTTTTTTTTTTTTGAGACGGAGTCTTGCTCTGTCGCCCACGCTGGAGCGCAATAGTGCAATCTCGGCTCACTGCAAGCTCTGCCTCCGGGATTCATGCCATTCTCCTGTCTCAGCCTCCCGAGTAGCTGGGACCACGCCCAGCTAATTTTTTTTGTATTTTTAGTAGAGACGGGCTTCACTGTGTTAGCCATGATGGTCTCGATCCCCTGATCTCGGTATTCGCCCGCCTCAGCCTCCCAAAGTGCTGGGATTACAGGCGTGAGCCGCCATACCCGGTCACCATAGCACTTTTCAACTTGAAATGTCTATGTTTTTACCAACTGTGTAGATCAGAGTTCCTCAGGCCTAATACTGTTGACGTTAGTATAGTGTTTGTTCTTTGTTGTTGGGGGCCATCCTTTACATTATTCCAGTTACGAGTGTGTTAATTTAGGATGTTTGGCAGCATTCCTGGCCTCTGCACAGGAGATGCCAGTAGCAACTCTTCCCACCTCACACACAGCTGTGACAACCGAAAATGTGTTCACCACTGGTTAACAACCACTGATACATGCATGGTCAGTGTCCGTTAGTTAAAAGATATGTGACATAATTGTCAATTTCAGGGCTATTTACAATTTAGGTATTCAGAGCTTTATTTCTCTGGATATATTGTCTATAAATAGGGTAAACTGTCACCAAATTAACAATATTTCTTTATGGGGCCCAAATGACAAATTGTGTACTTTAATCTGGGATAGTCATGAAATGCCACTTTGTTTCTTATCCTTCCCTCTTCCCCCAAAATATATTTTTTACATTAAAATAACTGAGTCTCCTCCGGGTGTGGTAGTCCCAAGCCTGTAATCCGAGCACTTCGAGAGGCTGAGGCAGGAAGATCACTTGAGGGCAGGAGTTCAAGACTGGCCCCGCTACCTCTACAAAAAAATAAAAAATCAAAACAAAATAACTGAATCTATAACTAAAATTACTAAACACTGTTGAAAAAAATGAAGCATTAAGCAGATTTTAAGACAAACATCTGGGTAAATTAGAGATCATCTTCTCTGGGGCTTACTTTTTTTTTTAGTTTAATTCTGAACTTCTTATATTTACTTAAAATGTTATTTTGTAAATTTGACCTTTTTATTTGATCCCCGGTCACATACTATATTTATGCCTGATATCCTCACTAATTTCACATTTAGTGGATTTTACTGTTACTATTTTCGCCCTAGCGGCTGCCTTTCTCCTACTTTTGTGTTGTTACTACTCCTCCTCCTGACTGTTGTCATTTGTTGAGCATCTATTGGACTAAGTGCTTTCTGTATTCAGTAATCTTTTTTAACAGCCCTCAACCCTGAAAGACAGTTAATCTGTTAGGTGCACTGTTACTTCATGGATTAATTTATGATTTGGTTCATTAAGCCTTTATTAAGCAATTACTAACTACCAGGCATCTGGATACTTGACTAAGCAGCAGGTATAAAAGTTAAAGTACAGTCGTTACAGTGTTTTAGAAGATCTTATAGCCGCAGAGACTCGGGTAGGTTAAGCAAATTACTAGTCACACAGCTAATAAGAAATAGCTGAAACTAAGCCAAATTTATCAGACTTCTTGAGCATTGTGATATTGATATAAATTTAATAGTAGACCTCACTGATGCATAAATAAGAAGTACAGTATTTCTTTGCCTAGGAGATTTGTATATTTACTGAAAATATTACAGTTTAAAAAAATTCTCAGTAAAGGAAATTCAAATAGTATAGAAAGTTATGAAGGAAGACTATCTCCATGTAACTCTTCTGAATAATCAGGTTATAGTCCTTTTGCATATACAGGGGTCTTTGTGGCATTTATGTTTGTCTTTTTTTTTTAACTAGACTTGCAACTTCTGTAATTTGATTAATTTTACTTAAATCTTTTGTTAGTATTTTTGCCACTTTTTAAGTGAAACAATTTTGTTTAACATTAATGAATATGTTTTGTGTGTTTTTTTGTCTGTGTAGCTTTTTTATGCATTCCAAGATGATCGTTATCTCTACATGGTGATGGAATACATGCCTGGTGGAGATCTTGTAAACTTAATGAGCAACTATGATGTGCCTGAAAAATGGGCACGATTCTATACTGCAGAAGTAGTTCTTGCATTGGATGCAATCCATTCCATGGGTTTTATTCACAGGTAAAGATAAAAGTGCTTTAAATTTTCTCATTTGTTGAAGGAAATAGCTAAAAAATAACTTTAACATTTCTTACTCTCAATTCACCCATTCTTCTGTATGACATGAATGACATTTCAGAACTCAAGACTTTGGCCAGGCGCTGACTCATGCCTGTAATCCCAGCACTTTGGGAGGCTGAGACAGGTAGATTTCTTGAGCTCAGGAGTTTGACACCAGCCCGGACAACATGGTGAAACCCATCTCAACAACAGGTGGCATGCACCTGTGGTCCCAGCTCCTTGGGTGGCTAAGGTGGGAGGATCGCTTGAGCCTGAGTGCAGAGGTTTCAGTGAGCTGAGATCTAGTCACTGCACTTCAGACTGGGTGACAGAATGAGATTCCATCTCAGGAAGGGGGGAAAACAAGAACTCCAGACTTTGAAGTTTATAAATTTAGCATTTCAGTTTAATGTTGGTGTAAATGTATTCTTTAATATCCCTTAATCTGATCATATAGCCTTTAAATGATATTCTGAAAAGTAAAAATTGTAAACTAGTTTTCTAAGGTATGTGCCAGGAGTTAAACACTTTGATGTTAATTTTTTAAATATGTAATTTAATTTGCTTTTAATTAGTGAATACATCATATTTATTCATAGACGAATAGTTTCATTTGTTGTACAAACACTGCTGGAATCCTGTGTGCAGTTGCTGTGCCTACATGTCAGGGATCAAAAATGAAAGCAACTTAGACCCTGCCCTGGGGTTTTTTATGTACTTATCTATCTCATATGTTTCGATCACCTTTTATGTCTGAGTGTTGTATTTTTGATGGTCAGTCTCTCTTAAACGATTTGATTTTCCCTCTGAAAGAATCAAACTCTGTTTAAAAAGGAATATATATGTTTTCTTCTGAGGCATTAACATATAAAGAAGTTTCCTTGATGAAATTTAATTTATAGATGTGGTTAGAGAACACATACAGATCCAAGATGGCCTTACCTAGATTGAGGATGCTTGACCTAAAATAACTGCCTCATATAATTTTTACAGTGTCTAATCTGTTTCAGAAAATACTGTACTATTTTTTCCCTCCCGCAGAGATGTGAAGCCTGATAACATGCTGCTGGATAAATCTGGACATTTGAAGTTAGCAGATTTTGGTACTTGTATGAAGATGAATAAGGTTAATTAACTAGATTTTAATTTAGTTTTTACTAATTCAAGATAGATGCTTCTTTAGAAAATGGTTTAAGAATTTACTAACCATTGCTGGACTTGTCCAGAATTGATATGACCTTATTTGTTGAACTAGATACCATGGTTTCAATGTGGTATTAGTAACTTGTTAGTGATTTATTTTTTCCTCTCTATTTAGGGTAAATGTGGATTGCCAAATTTACTAAATCCTTCATAACAACTCTAATATACACTACTGGTAACTAGGAATGGAATTAGCTTAAACGTCACTAAATACTTATGCCAGTGTTAAAATTAGACTTTCATAAAAATTGGATTTCAGTGATGTGTGTATTTTTTAGTGTTTTACTTCTGTTAACATATAAAAAATTTTACTGCTTATTTTAGGAGTGAGTCTTAAAAGATACCTATCCTCACTATATAATAAATAAAACATATACACAGCTCATTCAGCTGTGTATGTTATTCCTTCACTTCATATAAACAGTGAAGGAAACACTACATGAGAACTTTTGTGTGAGGATTTAGTTATAATTCTGTTTCATTAATACCAGCAAATATAGGTAACAACTAACAAGTCTCTCAGGTTTGGTGGGGGAGGGCAGTTAAAATTCACATGAAATAGATATTCAATGTGCTTTACATTATTATGCCCTTTTCCCATACATATGCGCCCCCATTTTATATTTATATAGTCAACTTTTGTATGTTTCTTTTGTAGTTTCAAACATAGTTAAATAGCTATTTTAGTAAGAAATAAGGAAGTCGGCGTTTATACCAATATGTTGTAAAATGCCCTATTCTATGAACTCCCCAATGTATTTGCACTGGCCTGTGTACTTATTCTCAGCAGTTAAGATGATATCATGATATTGGCACAACTCGGGGAATAATAAATGGTGGCAGTGTGTCTTTCTAGTGAGCATTATTACAAAATAATCACTGGTGTGTGTATATATGTGAATACACATATAGTGTGTGTGTATATGCATACACGTGTATACACATACATTTTATGGTATATATGTATATGGTGTGTATACAGTATGTATATATATGATTAAGCTGTGTTAATTTTTGTCAGGTTTCCATTAAGTTTTAATATATGATATTTTATAACTCAAAGATTTGGAGTCCCATAGGTTATATTAATAAGAAAGTCATTTTAAATAATTGAGACTTTATATCCTAATTCAAAATTTGACCTGCTGCTGTTTTTAGGAAGGCATGGTACGATGTGATACAGCAGTTGGAACACCTGATTATATTTCCCCTGAAGTATTAAAATCCCAAGGTGGTGATGGTTATTATGGAAGAGAATGTGACTGGTGGTCGGTTGGGGTATTTTTATACGAAATGCTTGTAGGTGAGTAAAGGAAGATTTTATGTCTCTCTATTATAGTTGTTCATCTCAAAACTCGCCACTTGGCTCTTTCTAATACAATATTTATTTTCTTAAGCAATCTTGATTTTGTTTGTGGGTAATAAACATGATCCAAACCCGCTTTGTATGTGTTTTTAAAAGCATTTAGAGGCTTAGAGCAACTTTATGATGTGTTCTTTTTATATATTAGGAGTATGTTTTTAGTTTAATACATACCTAATAATCTTTTAAAATGGGTTAACTTTGACTCTTCCTTTGAAACTGACTTTTTTCAAATGTATTTCATTTTGCTTTTGTTTTCTTTATTAATTTTTCAGGTGATACACCTTTTTATGCAGATTCTTTGGTTGGAACTTACAGTAAAATTATGAACCATAAAAATTCACTTACCTTTCCTGATGATAATGACATATCAAAAGAAGCAAAAAACCTTATTTGTGCCTTCCTTACTGACAGGTAAATAATTTTAAAATTGAGCCTGTATTAATTCTGAGGACTTCTCATCTTCTGCTCCGTTTTTAAGGTCCATATCTGAGTTTCTACGTGTAAATTGTTAGAATTTTTATATGCTACCATTCTCAAAACTGTTAATGACAGTGAAACCTGAGATAATTTTATGATAGTCTAGATGTCTTTTGTGGATCTCAGCTCACTTATCATACCTAAGAAATTGTGATGATAATATAGTCTTGGCTGATGGCTAAATTAGATGACTTTTTCTTTTATTGTTCAATTTTTAACTTGGTTAATTATAAAAATTACAGCGTATTTTATTGAATCTAAAAAAATTTTTTTAACATAACATCTCAAATTAGAGAACATCTCACAGTCAATGGTGTGAGTTGGGAGCATTCTTTTTCCTAGTGGTATAAAAATGGTGATACACCTTATACTTTAAACCATTTTAGATTTGATGATGTATGGTATATGGTTGTTGAAAGAGTCAATAGTATAAAGCCATTTTTAAAAGTATACTACCTTTTTTCTTCTAGACATAATAGTTGGTGTTCCATCTTGTAGATTCAACAAGCATTTTAATGATACTTGTCTGCGTTTTTGAAAGAAAAATGACATATTATGTATACCTTTGAGGTTTACTTTTGAAATTTGAAAGTGAACCAGATGTATTAGTAAGATTATACTTAATGTTTATGATTGTAAATTGTTAAATATTAGAGAGACCTAGTACTTTTAAATATGTTTCAAGTTGATATTTGCTTTAACTTGCCTTCATTATGTCCTTTAGAGCTTGAAGTATGGTTTTTCAAATGTTTACTTTTTTTTTTAAACAGAGGCAGGGTTTTGCTCGTTGTCCAGGCTGGTTTCAAACTTCTGGGCTCAAGTGATCCTCCCACTTCAGCCTCCCAAAATGCTGGGATTATAGGCATGAGCCACCCATGCCTGGCTAATTTTTACATTGATATTGATTGATTGATTCATTGAGGCAGAGTCTCGCTCTGTCGCCCAGGCTGGAGTGCAGTGGCGCGATCTTGGCTCACTGCAACCTCCACCTCCCGGGTTTAAGTGGTTCTCCTGCCTCAACCTCCTGAGTAGCTGGGACTACAGGTGCCTGCCACCACGCCTGGCTAATTTTTGTATTTTCAGTAGAGAGGGTTTCACTATGTTGGCCAGGCTGGTCTTGAACTCCTGACCTCATGATCTACCTGCCTTGGCCTCCCAAAGTGCTAGGATTACAGGTGTGAGCCACCGTGCCTGGATAATTTTTACATTTTAATATAAAGAATTGTACTATGCTGTTTATTAGGTGCTAGGGATATAGTAGTGAGGAAGATACAGAGCCACTTCTCTCAAATAACTCATAGTCCTTTGGGGGAATTAGATGAGCAAATCAGACATTTATAGTACAGACAACTAATTACCATGAGGTAAGTACCATGTGCCAGAGAACCATGGAGAGGTTTTCTAATCCAGTTTGAGAGTTCGTGAAAGCTTCTTGGAAAAATTGTCACATATCTAAGCCAACTTATCTTTTAGCTTATGCAGAAACTTAGAATTTAGAGTATTTTCTTTATAAGCACTCTACTAGGGAAAAAAAGGTGCTGACTTTCTTTTTCCAATTCAGCTAAAATCACGTTTTTAAAAACTTTTTGCTCACCAGGAAAGAGGCTGGTGTCAGTAACTTGTCCAGTGAAAGCTCTGAATTTTGTGGCAGTATCAAGAATTAGTAGTCACTGACTTTTGAATGGTCAGAAATAATTAATAGATTATAAATTGGAAATTCAAAATTTAAAATGTGTTTCTGGAGGTTTTTGGTAGCATCTGGTAGTACTGCCTAAGTAAAGTTTTGGTTGGGGGAAAAAAAGCATAACTTTACCACTGTAAGAAAAAAATAAACATACACGCACAAACAACTGTCAAGAAAATGCATGGTGCTTTATTCATTTTACTAATGAAGTAAAGTGGTGATCAATCTGGATTTTTGTTGTCAGTAGAAAAGTCATGGGTGTTTTTTGTAGTTATTCTTTAGTTTTCTTTTCTTTTTTTGAGGCGGAGTCTCACTCTGTCTCACTGAGGCTGTAGTGCAGTGGTGCGATCTCAGCTCACTGTAGCCTCTGCCTCCTGCGTTCAAGCGATTCTCCTGTCTCAGCCTCCCAAGTAGCTGGGACTACAGGCGTGTTCCACCACACCCGGCTAGTTTTATATTTTTAGTAGAGATGGGGTTTCACTGTGTTGGCCAGGCTGGTCTCGAACTCCTGACCTCAGGTGATCCACCCCACCTGGACTTCCCAAAGTGCTGGGATTATAGGTGTGAGCCACCGGTCTGGCCTTTCTTCAGTTTTCTTTTTAAAAAGTTCTTTAATGTTCTCTATCTTTAACATATTTTCTATTTGGGCTGAAATTATGCTGACAATATAATTTCACCTTAGAACTGTATTTGTCCTGCACAGATTTAATATTCTGCCCACAAATAAACCTGTACAGGTTATAATAAGATCTCAAATGATTAATTACTTTTCTCCTTCTGTCTTTATTCAGGGAAGTGAGATTAGGACGAAATGGTGTAGAAGAAATCAAACGACATCTCTTCTTCAAAAATGACCAGTGGGCTTGGGAAACACTCCGAGATAGTAAGTTATTTTTTTCTTGCATATTTTAGTGAATATTTGAAAGTAGTTGTGATAATTTGTTGGAACTACATTGCTAAATATTTTTGTGTGTCTGATGAAAATCAGAAGCCCCAAATACTATGTGGGAATTGTCCTAACCTATTAATTTGATAATATTGGGAAGATTATATTGTTACTCCTCTTATGTCCCATGCAGGATACCCAGATGAAATATAAATGTAATGGATTTAGACTTACCAGTCATAATTTTACGTTTGATCTTTGTTGAATTGCTCTTTATTTTAGGCATTAGTTATCTTCTTATGGAGGTGGTCAATAAGTAGTAGGTAATGAGATTAAAATATATGTTTTTGTGAGAAGACAAGTTATTCTCTTGTTTTTGTTAAAACCCAAAATATAAGAAGGTTCTATTATTAATTAATGCCAGAATTCAATTTAATTTTATTTATGAGTTTATAGGCTATTGTGATATACTTGATTCCCTCAGGCTTTTGCAACTTGCAATTCAGAAACAAAAACGTATTGTATTTCAAGAAGCTAATTTTCAGTCAGTTTAGAACACTTTCTTATTTTTTAAAAAAAGTTAAAATTATAAGATGATTCACAGAAAACTCTCTGCAACATAGCTGAATCAAAATTATCATGGCATCAAAGGCTCTCATCATCTTTGTGGATTTGGGAGGTAAAGAATTCCATCTTTCCCCTGCTGACATCTTAGGATTTTTTCCCTGTTCATTTATCAGAGAAAAGATAATGTATCTCAGTCCCTAACTTGCTGCCATAAGAATAGTAGTGAACAGCAACAATGGAAACGAACTCAGCTACCTAGTTTTAGAAAGTTACACATTAGTTGTCTTAAGGACTATCTGGTTGAGACAGTGAAGGATAGTACTTTCCAGAGAGAAGGAAATCTTGTTAATTCTGATGAAATAAATCATGTAGGTTTGCTAATATTAGTGAAGCATTCTAGTTATCAAATATTTTAAAAGAACAGTTGTATTGCCTTCAGGTACTATAACATAGTACTTACATTGTGCTGAGCTATAAAATTGTCTGAGGAGGAGAAAGGGAAAATAAATTCTCTGGAAATTAAGAAATTACACAAGGAACATCATTGAATGACCAGCTGTTTGAGAAGCTGTAAGAGCAGCTTGACTTGAGGAGAATTTTATTAACAATTATATACTAGGAAATAAGGAACTTCTTCCTCTTCAGAATTAAATGTGACATAATTATTCTGTTCATGCTGCAAGTGAAATTGTTACATGACAAAGAGATGATCAGGGAGTGAGAAATGGTTACATTGAAACACTTTTTGTGTTTTTATTCAGGTTATCTTAGTAAAGTTTAAGAAGGCTGAAGATGTGCAAATATTATTATAAATCTGAATAAAACTTTGAAGGGGACTGAAGAAAATACAAAATAATCTTTTGTATTGCTTTAAATTCTTTTTCAAAGTTAAGCAATGCATAAATAATTATAGAATAACCACACAATAAATCACCCTCAAAAGTAATAAAGATATTTTTCCTTTTGTATATTGAAAAACTGATCACTTCAAAGAGGAGGTAATTTAGTCAACAATTATTTTTTGAACACTTGTTATATTTTGAGCACTGTTCAGTTTCAGGCAGTGGGAAAACAGCAGTGATGAAACCAACAAAAGTTTTCTTTCTCTCTTCTGGAGTTCATAGTCTTATGGAATTAGGGAGTCCAGATCAGTGGCATTTTATGATATTGCTGTACCTCCTTCATAAAACTGCTTAAGATCTGCATTGTCTATGGTTTTATTTTAGTGTAGTTAGATTTGGCATACTTAATAGCATTTTGGTAGTTTTTCCTAATTCTAAGAGGTCCTGTTTTGTGGTTATTGGAAAAAACAAAGAAAAATTGAAGTCTGTAGAACTTATTGTTCTTTGCTTCCCTTCCCATCTTCCTACCCCTTCTTTACTTCCCACCCCTAAAATACCAAGAATTCTTTTATTCTGAACTGACCTCTTTGACCTGCTAAATTTTTAAAAATTATGTAACAGTTATAATTCCTTTTAATTTTTTGACTTTCCATTTTCTTTGGCAAAATTGCTTTCTAATACAAATAATAGTGTTTTTTTTGGGTATTTTTACCACTTTACATGTCTCCACATAGCAATGGCAATTAATCTTCACCTTGTGTTCCTTGGTGGTGTAGGAGCAGGACACAAAATAGCTTGATTTTTGGCAGAATTTCCTTGAGCTTCCTGAGATTGTTCACCCTTAATTCAGAGGCACAAAGTATTAAGATTGTAACACTATTTTTCCACTCATTTGAGATAAAATTGAAGGAGTGACATGAGTAAGATTAAAGATAGGAGAAAGACATAAGAAATGAAAAGACGTAAATTACTTACTACAGGTCATAACTGCAAGCAAACAACAATGTCAAAATTCAGATCTAAGTGTCTTGACTCCAAAGCCTTTGATCTTTGAAATACCATGTACGATTTAAAGATCTTTACCTGTTCAGTATTACATAGATCAAAAATGGAAGGAATTGACGATTGTTGGCAGTTAAATTTTGGGAAAAAGAAAATAACATTTACTACATATTTAGCCTACATTATTAATAATACTGTTAGTATTTAACGTAGTATTAATTTCAAATGAAATAATAAATGGCAAAGGATTTTGCAAGTTACCACATATTTAACATGTTATTAATAATGATTAATAATGACTAGGTCCAGGCGGCTCTATTCTACAGTGGTCTACAATGTTGTACAGTATTATACAGGGGCTCATGCTTGTCATCTCAGCACTTTGGGAGGCCAAAGTGGGAGGACCTCTTGAGGCCAGGAGTTTGAGACAGCCTGGGTAATGTTGCAAGACCCTATCTCTACAAAAAAATTTAAAAATTAGCCAGGTGTGATGGCACGCACCTAAGTTTCAACTAGTCGGGAGGCTGAGGTAAGAGAATCACTTGAGCCCAGGAGTTCAAGGCTGCAGTTAGCTTTGATCATGCTACTGCATTCCAGCCTGAATGCAGGCTGGAATTAATTTTTATTAATTTTTTAGAAAAATTAATAATACTACATTAAATATGTGGTAACTTACAACACACTTTGCCATATATTATTATCTCATTTGAAATAAGATATTGGCGTTACTTAATCCACCTATAGCTTGTGGGCAACACACAAGATGCTAACAGTGGTAATACTTCTGCTGGCTCAAAACTCATTGTATACACACATATATATTATTCTAGGTTCTGTGGGTTAATCAAGACTAGTACCCTCTCTGTTTGAATTTTACATTCTTACAGGAGAGATTATCAGTGTGGGCTTTGTGAATAAAAACTTAAGGCCTACCAAGTTTCGGGGCTCTTTTACTTAGGAGTTTAGACTTTCTGAACATTATAATGGATTTTTAAAAAATAAATTATCTCTTTATATTGTGATAAAGTATGCGTAAGATAAAATTCCCCATGTTGGGCGTTTTTAACTGTGCAAGTCAGTGGCATTAAATACATTCACATTGTCTTAAAACATTACCACTGCTGTGTCCAGAACTTTTTCGTCATCCTATACTAAACTCTTTTAGTTAAACAGTAACTTTCCATTTCCCTCTCCCCTCAACTCTCAGTAATCACTGTTCTATCTCTGAATTAGACTACTCAGGGTGTTTCATTTAAATAGATTACTATAATATTTGTCTTTTTGTGACTGGTTTATTTCACCTAGCACCGTGTCTTCAAGGTTCATTCATGTCATAGCATGTATCATAATATTCCATTGTGTGGATATACTACATTTTGTTTATCCATTTATCCGTTAATAGACACTTAAGATTGCTCTCTTTTTTAGCTATTGTGAATAACAAACAGTAGAGTACAAATACCTGCTTTCCATATTATATTATTATTATATATTATTCCATATTATATTTTATATCCATATTGATGTTATATATATGATATTTCTGTAATATCCCTGTTTTCCATTAATTTGGGTATATACCTGTAAGTGGAATGGCTAACTCATATGATAATTAATTAATTAGTTTTGTAGAGACAACCTTGCTGTGTTGACTAAGCTAGTCTCAAACTCCAGGGCTCAAGAGATCCTCCTGCGTCAGCTTCCCAAAGTGCAGAGATTGTAGGCCTGAGCCACCATGCTCAGCTGTATGTTTAATGTTTTGAGGAAATGCCATAAAATTCACAATGTTTGCACCATTTCACATTCCCAGCAACAGCGTACCAAAGTGCTGGGATTGCAGACGTGAGCCACCACGTTCAGCCATATGTTTAATTTTTTTGAGGAGACGCCATAATAGTAACCCCAACGTTTGCACCATTTCACATTCGCAACAGCAGTGCACATGGGTCCAGTTTCTCCACATCTCCAACATTTGTTCTTTTCTGTTTTGTTTTGTTTTGTTTAATAGTAGTCATCCTAATGGATGTGAAGTGGTATCTTATTGTGGTTTTGATTTGCATTTCTCTAATGACCAGGAATGGTAAACATCTTGTCATGTGCTTATTGGCCATTCGTATATCTTCTCTTGAGAGATTTCTGTTCAAGTTCTTTGCCCATTTTAAAATTTGGTGGTTTGTTTTTGTTGTTGTTGTTGAGTTATAGGAGTTCTTTTTAAATTTTGGATATTAATCTCTTATCAGATATATGGTTTGCAGATATTTTCTATTCTCTACACTCTGTTAATAGTGCTTTCAAGCACAAAATTTTAAATTTTGATGAAATCCGGTTTATTTCTTCTTTTGTTGCTTGTATTTTTGGCTTTGTATTTAAGAAATCATTGCCAAATCCAGTGTGTCATGAAATGTCTTACCTATGCTTTCTGTGAATTTTATAGTTTCAGCCAGTATGTTTAAGTCTTTGACCTGTTGTGAATTACTTTTTATATAGTGTATAGTAAGGGTCCAATTTAATATTTTTGTATGTGGGTATCCAGTTTTCCCAACACTGTGTATTGAAAGGCCTGTCCTTTCCCTGCATTGAAAGTTG